ACCATTCTGAACACAAGAAACTGTTTCAGTTTCCTTTTTCTTGCTATTACTTCTTGTATCTTTAAGTGTAATATGCTGAGAATAGCAAAACTGCTCGGGTTATTATTGTGGGTTTCCTTTATTGGTGATGTTACTGGGATACTCCTACACTCTGAGCGCAACTGTGCCAGGTCCTTAGATTCGAGGCTGCATGTTTCCAGTTAGGGCCCATCGCCTGTTCAGTGTTTGAGCGCTACCTCTTTGTGGGGAGAAGTCGCCCTAGCGGTCGCTTACTTCCTTTTCGCACACTCAGAAATGCGCATTGTCTACCTGCTGTCGGCAAGGCGGGCAACATGTCCTGCTCGTCGTTAATTTTCTCGAACGAATGCAGTGATGTCCTAAATGTCACTTCTGACGGAGAGCCTGATTGTTTATATGGTCGCGGAGAAATACAGTCAGCTTTCCTCGCTCTACCGTTCTTTCCGTCACTACCAGCGCTTGTTTTTCAATCTTCGTGAGTGGCCACGTTTCAAATCTGCGTATCATTATCTTTAATACAGTGAGCTGAAGATGTAGGTGCGGTCCTTCCGATTAAATACTTTAAAGGTGTCGACGGAATTTACGCAATTGGACAGCTTTTCGGCGTGCAATCTCGTGCTGGACATTCTGTCACATATTGTCTTCTTAACTGTAGCTGTCAGCTTCTTCCACGTTTATTGCCATCTATCTGTAATCTTTTTGTGGGCATACTAGGATTTTGCATCACCTTGGTTTTCGATGCGTTGGTTTTCAGGCCCGTTTTCTTACTTCGTGCGTTGAGCTCCTGCGCCATCTTGTTTATTTCGTAGGGGTTGTTGGCAATAAGAACTATGTCATCCGCAAAGTGAAATTGTTTTTAACTGCTCGATATTGCTGTTCATGTGGCCTTTCCAATCCAATTTCCAAAATACCATTTCGAGGCAAGCGGAGAAAAGCTTGGGCGATAGGGGATGGCTTTTCCTCAGTTTCTTTTCGATCAGTGTGCAACTTAGAGTGGGAAAAAGTGTTTTTTCTGTCAGTCAGCCTATGTTCGCTTCTTTAGCGATTTCTACCTAGTTCCCATCAGTCCCTCCATCTGTAAGAGCTCGCAGCACAACATTCAACCCGACGCCACTGAATGCTTTTTTGTAATAGATGAAACAAAAAGGGAGTTGGTATTCCACTACTCGTTCCAGCAGCTGATTTAGAGGGGAAATGTGGTCCATAGTGCTGATCCAGGGGATTGCTAACTCGGGAATCGGAACAGCTTGGTCATAACGACCGAACCAGAAGTTCTTTTTCCATCATACAAAATTTACGGTAATAAGTGGCACAAGTTAAATGTAGCAGCCATTCATACAGACTAGTTCAAAGTTAACGCGACAGCGCGTGAGCACCGGCAAATCTGGTCCTGCTTTTCTTGGAGATGATATTTCTGCTCGCTTACTATCTGCTAGATCCTAATTAGTTTCCAGAGGTCGGCGGTAGTCTTCTACAACACTTATCAACATTTACTTATTCTTATTTTGACGTGTTTGGTTAGCTGTGAAACCTGAAATAGCAGAAATTTTTCTGAATGAGTCTCGGTGTTGTGGATGGAGCCCATTTTTTGCAGTATTGAATTCGTTTTAAGATTTGCACACGACTTGCTAAACCATCGTCGGCCGGCGCTTGTACCTAGAATCACCCTGGATGCACTTCTAAAGCATATCTGCTTCTAAGGCAGCACATGCCTTTTTTCTGCCTCTCCTGGGTACTCTGCAGGTGTGGACTGTTTTTTTTTTTTTTGCTAGACATTTCGCAGAATTCCGCGGCATTTCACTTGCTTGAGACACTCCCTTAATTCCGCTGCATAAAATGGGTGCAGAAAAATTTGTTTATAGCTGGAAAAGAATTGGTGATTTGTTAGCGGGTTGGAGTCACGGTCTGGAAGTTGAAATGCCAGGAGTGTTATCCGAATTAGCGCAATGGTTATATACGGCCGAACAAATTATTGACAGTTCAGTTGATTTGCGGGTCGATGATGCGCAGCAGTCACTAGCTAATATCACAGAATCGATAAGCCACCACAAGGTTCGTAGCAGTTTGGCTGTTTGCATTCGAAGAGAAAAGTCTGTCATTTCAGTTAACTCGGAGAGGAATTTCAGCAATTCGCAGTGAGGAAATATTGTTAACACCGAGGAGGCTCGAACTGATTACTGTTCTGTGTTCGGGCCTACACCCTTTCGTAAATAGTGTTGCTTTTCTGACGAAAACGATGTTTTTTGTTTATTCACATTTCTCATTTCGATTTCAAATTTTTTTAATGGTGTTTCTTACTAAGTTCTTTGTTGCTGGCCACAGTTTTATACTCTGGCGTCACCTAGC